GGGCGGGGGGCGGGCAAGAGGAAGAATGGCTCACCCTTTACTTACCACCAGTGGGTGAGGAGGCACACTCTAGGCAGTAGGGCACACCACACCGTTGACCTTATATGACCTGATGTGGCTACCCACAGCCTAGGCAGATGGAACCCAAGGGTGCCTGTCTTCTCCCAAGGAGGAAACCTGCAAGCTTGTGTCCCCTGACAAAGAAAGGATCCAGGAACTGGGCACACCAGCTTGTGGAAGGGCCACTGGGGGCTGGTGCATTACTAAACTCCCAGTGCCTTCCCAGCACCCTAGGGTGGTAGTGGAGGGAAAGCTGGCTTCCAGAGAGGAAAGGCCTGCCTAGGGAACAGCTAAGTATCGAGAAAATTCCTGACCCTCAGCAGGGACTTTCTAGACACTAGGTGGGTGGGACCTGTAAACCTTTGGGACCTGATGCTCCTGCCCTGTTCTCCTGCCATGGCCAGGTGGCCTACCTTTCAGAGGAAAGACAGCAGCAAGGTCAAAGAGTCAAGTGACAAGGAGACCAGGTGGAGTGGTGGCCTTACACATTTTCAAGCTGAGGGGTGAGAGCTGGAAGAGACAGTTGCCTCCTGGTCTAGCTCATCTCCCTCCAGGGCTTTGGGGACGGGCAGAAAGTATCACCTTTTCATCCAGCGTGGTCACCATGGACTTGGATAAGGTTTCAGTGCTCTTAGTGGGCTCTATAGGGATTCGAAGCAGAAGGCTGGGGAGGAAAGGGGTAGCTCCTGCCTTCTGACTTCACTTTCTCCTGCTCCCTCTTCCTGTTCTCGTAACCTAGCAGTCTCCTCCCGCCTCCCTCAGCCTCAGCTGACTCACTGCCTCACTCACACTACCAAATGAGATATTCCACTTCTTAAAGGTGTATAGACAGATAGACACACACACACAGCCATACACCTCACCACTACCCCAGGGCAAAGTCAAACAGTGATGGCGAGGTCGTCACACCCACAAACAGTGCCATAGAATCAGTGCCTCTCTCTCTCTCTCTCTCTCTCTCTCTCTCTGTCTCTCACTCACACACACACACACACACACACACACACACATCTCTCCACATTGTCAGAGGCAAGCAAGCAGAAGTACTATCACATGAATAAGGACACATTTTTTTGGTCATATAGACACACATACCACCAATGTCACCCACAAACACATACACTCAGGGAACAGAGGGATACAGTCCACTAGCAGGTGGAATAAAGGATGCCTGTCTTTTTTGTGGCTCTCCTCCAAGCCCACAGCCCCAGCTGCTTTGTTTTGTTTTGTTTTGTTTTTCTCAATTACCAGTATGAATGAGAGCCTTCACAACTTTCCTGTGAGGATATTTTTTTATGTTATAATCACCTCCAAGCTCCGTTTGGCCCTGCACTAAACAATAATTCTGCACGTTGATTGTTTTTACCCAGCAGTTTGGTGTAGGGGAAAATAGTTGATAGCTGTGATTCAGGAGGCTTTATCACTTCAACAGTTTGTTAGCACTGTGACCTTGGGCAAGTCATTTTACTTTTCTGAGCGTTCGTTTGCTCATTTGTAAAACAGGAATAATAATCCTTCTTCTGCCCACAACCTGGGTCTTTTGTGAAACTTAAGTGGGCATAGGTAACTGATAATTATTCTATAATTTCATATCTGACTTTTTAGTTTTCAAGCCCTTTCACATATGTTAGAAGTTCACAATCACTCAAGGATTTGGGAATACTAGTACCATTATGCCCATTGTACAAATGAGGAAATTGAGGTGCAGAGAGATCAAGCAGTTTGCCCTAAGGTTGCTCAGGCAATACGCAGCCAAGTCAGGACTCCAACCTGCGTGTTCCAGTTCTCAGCTTGTGCTGTTGCCCCAGGCTTCCCTCAGGTTCCCCATGCCCCCCACCTCCCTCGTCTTCTTGTCTTTTTCCTCCAAGCAAGTGAATTCCATTCCCCCTGCGCTCTTGTTGCCTGCTGTGCCCACAAAGGGCAGTGTCAGTTCTACAGTTCCCTTCCCGTCTTTCCCACATCTCTTCCAAAGCTCTCTCCCTCAACTGAGGCCAAATAAGGTTCTCAAATCCAGTTGTACTATCATCACTAAGGGGAAGGACAGCCCTGCTCCTCTTCTTCTTACACCTCCCTCCCCCAGCCCCTTGATCCCTCTCCTACTCAGGCCTTTCTAATGCCAAGCTTGTTCCTGGGCCCCCAAGCCTCCTGTCCAGCCTGTACCCTGAGTGGGACCCCTGTGAGCTGATGCCCCCTCCCTCAGAGCTGCTTCTGAGTGCAAAGCCCACAGCCCCAGGCCAGGAAAAGGAAACTCCCTCTACTTAGGGAAACTAAACCTGGGGCCTTGGTTCCAGGGCCAGGCGATCCCCTGTTCCCAAGGCCCTTGCTCTGAGTGCCTTGGATCCTTAGTGAGTGGCCCCAGAAACTGTTCTGCCCTTCTGTAATTTCTGCCTGTTTGGGGTCACATAGAGCCCCACAGATCATACCTGTCCTCACTGCTGCCTATGACACCTCCCAATTTAGTACCAACTGCAACATTTCCTTAAAGTGCAACTGACTTCCTCTCACACAGCAGGGCGATGTTAACCCAGGCAGACTGATGCCCATCCCCACCCTGGTCTCTCCCAACTCCTGGATCCATGCCGCACCCTTCTCTTATCTCCCTGTATACACTCAAGCCCTAATCCTCCCTATCCTCTGCCTACGTACCCCATGCCACCTCACCTCATGCCCAGCCCACCATCCTCCTAATCCTGCCATGCCCCTGTCTGGTTCTTATTGCCTCTTTCCTACCTCCGCCTCTTCCTGCTCTCAATTCTGGACATTCAGACCAGGGGTGTGGTGGAGGTCGAAGCCTCTTCCTTCATTGTTCTTTTATTCAGGAGGGGATAAGGGCCCAAAGGGAGGACAGTGCCAGCCCTTGGAGCCATCAGTTCACACTGATCAAGGTTAGTGCCAACGAAAGATGTGAGAGTTCTGCTCTATCCTGGACTGACCCAAACCCGCCTGACAGACTTTGTGTTTGGTCCTGGGTCTCACACTGACCAGGTTGAAGAGGAGGCTGACAATCAAGTTCCCCCGGAGACAGTTGAAGCTGGAGGAGACTCAGGAGAATGTAGTCTTGGACTTCACACATCAGAAGCGTTGTCCTGGTACAAAAGAAGCATGTCTTATCAGCTCCAGAGGGACTTGGTAGTTAGAAGGTCCTGGGTTCAAATCTGGATTCTTTATTTATTTCCTTGCGACTTTGAGCTAAGGACTTGAACTCTTTGAGCTTCACCTTTCTCATCTGTAAATGGGGCTAATTCCTCAGAACAGCCCTGTGAGGTTATTGTTAATGAGAGGACGGTAGGCCTAGCACATCAGTCACTCCTGTTTCTTCCTTACAAAGAGGGAACAAACTGCCTTAGGAAAAGGGAAGCCCCTGCTTCCGAGAAATATCTGGCCTGATTCAAGGAGACTTCTGGGTAGAAATGCCACAGAGGTGACTAGCACCAGATTTGGAGGAGAACTGGACCAGGTAACCTCTGAGGGCTATTTCAGACCGGAGTTTAGGCCCATGGTCAGAGCCTGTTCCCTGAACGGCAGCACTGGATGGGGATGGCTAGGAAAGGAGGCTGAGCCTAACACCCACACATGGGAGAGAGTGGGGGGCTGCCAGTGCCAATGCCTCGCCTTCTGCCCGTATCTGCCAGGGCCCTGCTTTCCTCCACTCCGGCTGGCAGCTGTTTCTGTCTCACTGCCTTCCTCTCTCCTCCCACCTGCCACGGCTTTCCTGCCAAGCAGGACTCCCAGGCTAATGCTGGGTATGAGGGGTTCTGAGAGCAGGGAGCTTGGGACACTGAGCAAAAACCAGGAGCCCCAAGTTGGCCAGTGGTCCTTGTTGCTACTCAGGCTGCTAGGCAGGGAGCCTGGCCCCAGTGGCACGCACCCTAACCCAAGACCCTGGCAGCTGACCGGTCAGAAAGGACGTGCTGGTTCCTGCTTGGGGATGGAGGAAGGGCAGGCAGTCAGTAAGCAGACCCCTGGATAGCTTGGCAAAGCTGCCCTTGGGAGGGGCCTCCAGATCCGCAAAGCTCACCTCCTCATCACCAAGGAATATGAGCAGGAGGTTCTGGGAAGGGCAGGAACTGGGAGTCCTGGAATGGGGACCACAAAGAGGCAATGTTTACGGCTAGAGCAAGGACATAGTGGATTAAGGCTGGGTGTGGGAAAGCTGGTCTCAGTTTGAAACACATCTCTCCAGACCCCTCACCCTACCCCCATCCACTCTTACTCTGACCCCATGTTGCTCCCACATTTTAGCCCATACCCGTTGGTCCTGCCCACATGTTAAGGACCCACACCATTTGCATAGTCTTTGATTTATCACCCTAGACCAGTGTGATTTAGAGCTTTCAATGATAACAAACAGCCGGCTTCAGCACATGTGCCACAGGTTCCCCACCACTGCCCTAGACCCCCTCCCTAACCACGCCCCACATCCATTCTCTGACCCTTCTAATCCCTGCACT